TCTTCACCCCTCCTCCTTTTTCTTTCTTTCTTTTTTTTTTTTTTTTAAGACAGGGGTTCTCTTTATAGTTCTTCCTGTCCTGGAACTCTCTGTGTAGACTAAGTTGGCCTCCAATTCACAGAGATCTGCCTGCCTCTGTCTCCTGAGAGCTGGGATTACAAGCGTGCACCACCACACCTGGTTTTGTTTTGCTTTTCCAGTAAGAGTGTTTTTACACACACTCTTTACCCAAGACTAAGGTATATTCATAGGCCATTTAGAATTACCTTTTCTTTTTTTAAAAGATTATTTTATCTTCTCTCTGTCTCTGTGTGTGTGTGTGTGTGTGTGTGTGTGTGTGTGTGTGTGTGTCCACAGAAGGAAGAAGAGTGTATCAGAGCCTCTGGAGCTGAAGCAAAAGGTGGTTGTAGGGTGCCTGACATGGGTGTTGGGCACCAAACCTGGGTCCTCTGGAAGAGCAGCAAGCACTTTTACCGTCTGAGCTTTCCCCCCAGCCCAGTTATCTTACTGTGCGTGCCCAGCTCACATTAGCACACTGAGCATTAGAAACTGCACGCTACCTTAATGTCTTACCATAGCTGCAGGTGTGTTCTCATTTTCCTGTCAAGGAAATTAGTGATGGGAACACATGACTTGCAGGGGCGAGCCATGACCAATGTGGTCCCAAACCGTGTGACTGCAGAGTGGGGAGATCTGCTATGGAAATTACCCTGTATAAAGTAATTGATACCCAAATAGCAAAAAATACATTATATGTGTATATATATATATATATATATATATATATATATATATAAAATTTATTTTCCTTTTGGGGACAGGGTCTCAGATAGTGTACAGACCAAGCTGGCCCTGAATTAGCAGTCTTCTTGTCTTAGCCTCATAAGTGCCTGGCTTACAGGCATGTGCCACCGTGTCCATTCCGTGTCCTCCTCACTGTCTTTAATGAACCAGCTGTACGGTTTAGGATAAATTGTCTAATTAATTCCTTTGAGTCTATGTCCTTCTGAAAATGAGGCAGTTAATAATGTTCTTTTTTTATGGTTGTGGTTGAATTAAATGAGGGACCACACGTCAATGGCTTAATGCAGTCTCTGGCACAAATTAGGGACAAAAGCAGATTGCGAATGTCACCACCGTTCTCAGCACGACGCTCCTCCTCCCCAAGGGCTGCAGCACTTGCTGTGGTCTACACTAGGGCTTGGTTAACACCTGTTCACAGGACTCACACCCAGGACCGCCTTCTAAGCTCACAGTCTTACATGCGTCCATTTGTCATCAGTGGATCTGCTGTTTCCGGGCCTTGTTGAGTCGGAAAAAAGGACAGAAGGGTGTAGCTAAGGGAATATGTTCATCTCCTGCTCCCCTTGAGATTGAGAAAGGAATAGTCCAGAACCAAGACATCCCCTGCAAAGGCACACCCCCCCCCGACCTGCTTCCTTCTGCTAGTCCATGCAACTTTGACTCATCAATAGATTCTTTGTTATGTAAATATCGTTATTGAAAAAAAAGCTTTTAAAATTGAAAACATCACACATCAAAACTAACCAGATCCAAGGTCTACGCAACTCTACAAACTACTGAAAGGTTATAGGTTTGGCATTTGAGTTAGCTCATTGGTGAAATTACAACCCTGATGACCCAATTATGTCTCAGTAGAACCACACCTGGTGGCCAAAATGGAAGAACACTTTCAAAGTCAAGCGCTAACAGGTCTGGCTTACTTTTAGAATATGTCCTTCCAAAACCCACAGTGGGTCACCTTTATTGCGTATGGTTATCCCAAAGCGTGTTCTGAAAAATTAGCATTTTTCTCACCCCCGTCTTATAAACACCGAGGGATGGTCTAAAGCAGGAAAGTAAAACATCCCCCCTGTCACTCTGGCGCAGTGAGGAGTGCGCAGCGGAAGCACATTCTCGCAGCCCACGAGATCATTCACAACTACACGGAAGCTGCAATCCAGAGGACCACCCTCGAGGAACAAAACCAGAGGGCGGCCTTCAAGCGTATGCAGGAAGAGGAGGCCTCCTCTGACGTGTCAACAGACCAGACCGACAGCCCGGAAAACGTCTAGGTGAGTCCTCCTCTCCACCCGGAAGGAAGTCCCGGAAGAGGAGAAGCAGCCCCATACAGGCTTGGGCACTACTTCAGCCAAGTGTGACACGAATGGGCTGTCATTGACAAATAATAATAATAATAAAATAAAATAAAATAGAAAAGAAGAGGAAGAGGAAAAAGAAGCACTTCCATTGAAACCGGATGTCTCATCTAGGTTAGGGTACCTCTTGTTGAGTTGGTCCTGTAGCGATCGGGCTCTTGAAATATAAACAGTAAGACCGTAAGTTACTTTTTTTTGGGGGGGGGGTCCTTTTAGCCTGTACGTGTACTCCATCACAAATAAAGCTTCATGGAACGTGTGAAGTTTGTCTATAAGGCTTTCTCTCACAAAGGTGGGCAAAGAGTCCCGTGTGTCCCGTCATCTCCCCCCCCCCCCCCCCGGTGTATAGTGCTTGCTGTCAGCACAGACACAGCATGACGCAGAGCCTGCCAAGTTCAACCTAGCCTTCTCCAGTTGCTCTCCTGGGGCCGGCGTCAGGCTCAGCCAAACGCTCACGCACACAAACCTAAGGTGGCCCCTATTGATCTGCTCAGTGGGATATAAAACAGGAGCACATGGCGTGGGTGCAGCACCCGCCTGATGTACAAGCATCACATCCCAGAGGCTAGAATCTCTTGTGATAACCTTATCGGCTTAGCTCCCAGAGGCCCCTAAGTAGATTTTTTTCCCCCCATTGAACGGAAGTTAGCATGCTGAGAGAGGCTCACAGCTGTGATTCCCTGGTGGGCACCAACATCGTATCCGGAAGTCATCCTGGTACAGGTGTGTTTTACCAGTCAGGGGCCGTTTTTCACCTAAGTAGTTAGCTGCTTGGTAACCCAGCTGACAAACAGCACATTATCTACCTGGTCACTAGGAGAACAGAGCGGAAGAGTCGGTCCACTGAGAGGAAAGTCCTGCATGATCCATGGTAGATATATTTGTCAATAAAAAGGATAAAATGAAATTGAAGAAAGAAAGAAAGAAAGAAAGAAAGAAAGAAAGAAAGAAAGAAAGAAAGAAAGAAAGAAAGAAAAATGTTGAGAGTAAGCCAAAGGGAAACAGGGAAAGAATCGGAAACAGTGCTCATGACCTCCAGGGCCTGGGTGTCACCTTTTCCCAAACAAAGTTTGCACAGTGCCAGTTTTTCAAGGAAGAGAAGGCTGGGTGCAGAGAGGGTCCTCATGGGGAAGTGACCGTGGTCGAGTTACACTGCGAGTGCTTATGAAAATGTCACAACGGAACCAGTTTCGTGCAGCAATGCACAACAATTAACAGCAACAACAGTAATAGAAAACGGATTTTTGTGAGAGTCGAGACTACGAATCGAAAGTATTTAAAACCTACAAATCACTCTCATACACTACTAGATAATTTGTGTCCTACCCCATCAGCTTTGAAGATAACTTTAATGGGGGGTGGGGGTGGGGATGAGAAGGCCAAAAATATGTATGTGATACGAATAGAGACCAGGCCATGTAAGGTTACAAAGGGCGCTGAGCAAGCCACGGGGAGCAAGCTGGGAAGCGGGCATCCTTCCATGGATTCCGTTTCCAATTCTTGCCTTGATGGAGTCCCTGACGTCCCTCCAGGACGGATAGTGTCCCAGAAGAGTAAGTTAAATAAACCCTTCCCTCCACTAAGTTGCTTTTGGTCATGGCATTCATCACAGTAACAGCAAGCAAACTAGGACCTGTGTCCTCCAGAAAATAAAAAAAGAGACTGTCCCCCTGAGTGCAACCCACGGGGACCTCTGTGCCCTGGAGGTCACCTTGGACCACACAAGCCACTTCCTTTAGCTTCACCTGGATTTATACCATCAAGAATTTATTTGGTGCTCTGAGGTTTTTTTGTTTGTTTTTTAATTTATGCTTTTGTTTACACTTTTGTAAAATTTTACCAGGGACACTGACTGCCTAGGCCTGTCTCTGGTGGATGGCCCAGGAGCTCATGGTTCTTAGTTGCAGCAGAAGGTAGATGAATGGAGATCTGAACTCCAGTTTCTCCTCTTCCCCAGCCACGCCTGGGAGTGACTCCGGCTCCCATCTGGGCTACCAGTCTGGGGTCCTCAGTAGCTACACGGACAGGGTGTTTTGACTGGCTCTCAGGTGAAGCCCTACCTGTGTGAACACGGAGGCCTGACAGCGCTGCAGCCTTTTTATACCATCTAGAGCTCGATACAGCATAACCAGAGGAAGAGAGACCGGATATCTTGCCATTTTTATGTGAGATGAAAATAGAAAAGCTGTAATAGTTTATAGGGCTTCTGGCAAGCTTCCCGCCTGAGCCGGAATCCGGCCCATTCTCCTTAGCTACAAAAGTGCCAGTCAGTACAGAAAGACCTACCTCCGATCTTGGAAGTAAGTGTCACTTTTCAGCCTTCCTAGCCACTTAAGCGGGGCCCAGGGCATAACACCCTGATGCTGTCCTGCTACCCACACTAGACAGGCTGCTTCTGGAAGGGTCTGAGGGAAGAAAAAGCTCGAGGCAATCTCCCCATAGTCTGGTTCCCTGCTCCCGAGCAGCTTTCTACCCCCTGGTTGAACTTCAAGGTAACACCTGTCCTGTAACCACCTCTTTTGGAGTCTCCCGGCTCCTCCCTCCCGCCTCACATTGACATACCTTTCTCACTTTCATGTAAAATACCACTAAGGAAAAAAATGTGTTAGAAGCTAGAGATTCAAAGACACTTTACCTCGGGTGGCAAAATCACCCTCAGAGAGGCAGACATTGGCTCAGAATTACTAAGCACAGGCACTTAGAACACACTTCCCCTTATATGTTTTATACTGAAGACAGCTATGGAAAAAAAAAAAAAGAGGGTATACAACAAGAGTAAATACGGTAATCTGGTCACTGCTAGTTCAGGTTCTGGACTTGGGACTTAGGAGTGCCAACTGGGGCCTCTTACTACATTGGACCTGGGGTGAAATGCAGGCAAGGACAAGCATAGTTCGTATGCCTAGGGACGCCATAGTCTAAGATTAGCCTGGGAGGAGAAGCACAGATACATACTGCTCATTTGTCTAGCAGGAGGCCTCAGCCTCTCCCCTGGAAGCCTGCCTTTGGCCCACACAGAACACCACAGGCTTAAGGTGAGACCTCCATGAGCAGCCAGGCAGCCACTGCAGGTGCGCTGAGCCCTGAGTGGAGCCATCGTTCCTGATTCTTCAAAGTGGACCCCAAGGGAGAAATCCACCGAAAGCAGTGGCTACCAAGCAGGTATGATTTGATTTCTTTCTCTTCCTGGGAGTCAGGTGCCCTCTGCCTCTGTACGGAAGGTTTGTGGGAACACAGGTGAGGTCCTTGGTCAGCGACGACGTGATGGAATATGGAAACATGCTGGCACCTTGCTCTTTCCTCTCCTCCCCGCTGGGTTAAACAAAGCGTGAGGACAGTTGTGGAACCCTGCTACCTGGCCTGCATTTGTGTTGCCAAGGAAGCATTAGCCAGGCAGTCTAGCCCCTCTGTGACAGGGTTGGAGTCCCTGACCCAGAAAACACCACTGCTGAAGACTGGGAGAACCAGGAACCATTAGCTCTGGCTCCTGGGGCTTGTCAGGTTAGTGATGGCAGCCCCCCGGGACAAGGACAGCCTGAAGCCCTCACACCCTCATCGGCAGCACCCCCTACACCTTTGCCAAGTGGTCACAGCTTTGGATTACTGAGTTTTCTACCTCTGTCTGGAAGGAACGATACCCTGCCCCCATGCCAGAGCTGTGCCTGTGTATATTCAGCACCCTTGGGCCTCTCTCTGCCCCATAGAACAGCCAGCCTGTCTCTGCTGAGGTGAGGGCCAGAGACGCCTCAAGACACCTCAAGTCTCCTGGGCATCTAGTAGCTACCTTGGGAGACAACTTCAAGGCCAGCAAACTTTCCCTTTGCGATTTAGGTGTGGCATTGTTTTTCACTGCTGCTGGGAAGATGAATGGCCACCATCCAGCTAAAAGGTGGCTGGATTATCTACACTGACTGAGATGAACGTTTGGTCTTTAATGACAAGGCCAGAGTCTAAAGTATCCTGAGCAAGGCCTCTGAGGCTATGACTTACCCAGTCTCTCTAGAAAGAAAGAATACTTCTTTGTACCCTATACCTTTTCTTACCTTGCTTAAAAATGCTTTCATTATACGGTGAACTTAATCTAAACTGGAATCACTAGGTTACACCTCATGGGCCGAAATCTGGCCCATCAGCTATTTTTTTTTAATCAAAAAAGTTGTACTGGAACACAAAGTCATGTGGCTGTTTGTGCACTGTAACAGCAGGAGCAAATGGTCCTTCACAGAAAACGTTGGCCAGCTAGTTCTCAAGGCGATCGGCCTGATGCTGAAAGACTGGGAAATAAACATAGTAGGACCACCACAAAACTAACTAGACTGGTTTTGTAGGCGGTCACTGTTCAACTCCTCCTCTAGCCACCATGTCAATCCTAATCCCCGCCTCCCACCAGAGCAACTGGCAGGATGTGTCTTTGCCAGCCCACCGTCTTTGCCTGTATACCTGTACTGACAAATAGAATTGTTCTCGTGCTACCCTCATCCTGTCTCTCCATCGCACATGGCGTGGAGATCTTCCATGCCCACACAAGCCCCTCTCTCGTTTGTTTTAACTGCTTTAAGCTATTTCAGTACGCGTTTTAAACAGTGGGTACAGTCATCTGTTCAGCAGGTATGTGTGCATGCGCGTAGGCCATGGCATGCATGTGGGAGGTCAAAGGATAGACGGTGGGAGTCATGATCTCTGATGAGGGTTAAGAGATGCTCTAGTGTATGGGAATGAAGATAAGAACGCAGGGTGGGGGCTGGAGCGGTGGCTCAGTGGTTAAGAGCACTGTCCGCTCTTCCAAAGGACCTGGGTTCAATTCCCAACACCCACATGGCAGCTCACAACTGTCTGTAATGCCAATTCTAATGGATCTGACACCTTCACACTAATGCACATAAAATAAAATTAAATAAATTATATATAAAAAAGAAACTTTAAAAAAAAAAAGAACGCAGGGTGCAGTTTAATGGTCTGTCTCTTCAGCAGAATAATAATACTGAGTTCACTTCCAGAGCCTAGCCAGCCACGCAGTTTTGGCTCAGCTAATGGTGCCAGGTCTGACTTCTGCTTCATGAAGTGGACCTTAAGCCCAATCAGGAAGTTGTTGTGTACTCCCAGAACACTCGTGCCACCATTGTACAAGTGGGCATAGATTGCCAGGCCAATCTTTTTTTTTTTTTTAAGTTTTATTTATTATGTAAACAGTGTTCCGCCTGCATATACCCCTACACACCAGAAGAGGGAACTGATGGCTGGGAGCCACCATGTGGTTGCTGGGAGTTGAACTCAGGACCTCTAGAAGAGCAGCCAGTGCTCTTAACCTCTGACCCGTCTCTCCAGTCCCAGGCCAATCTTTGTGGTGGCTTTCGGGGTTACTTGCAGGGTAGGACCATGGATGACTTTTCTCCTCTGGTTGCATGCCTAGAACCTCTCAGCACTATTAAAGCCAGCCAGTGGGGACGAAGTTTCCAGGCCAGCACCAGCATGATTTCCCCATGTCTTATGACTTAAGGATGCTGCGTCTATGGCAGTCCGGTCTTATCGTCAAGTTCTGGAGGGAAACCTAGAGAAGTGACAATAGCCCGTAATGTTTGGGGAGGGTCTGCACTGACCAACAACTTGAATAGAGGTAACCCACACCTGGCCCTGGGTTTTTATTTTCTAGCCTACGGTGTCTGGGGAAAGCGCTGTCTTTCCACCCTTTTCCGTTTAGAGAAGCTCCATTTAAACTCCCGTCCTATACTCTTACTAGGAAGCCTTCACAGCATGTGTCTCCATGTGACTCTGTCAAAGGCCTGTAGTGTCAGTTACCCTTGCCCTCGAGCCCTCTTCTATCCTGCTTTCCCAGCTTGCACCCATTTAACCTTTGACCCTCACTATTCCATTAAACCCCTTTCGCACCACCTTGTTCTAATCCCCTTCCTGGAAATCCTTCCTCCACACTCCCTTATTAATTTTCTGCCTCCTATAGGCACTCCAGCTTAAACACGGGTATCCAAATATTCAAAGCCAGCATCTCCGTATGAGAGAGGAAGTGTGGCGTTTGTCTTTCTGTGACCTCATTCAGACTGGTTATTTCTAGCTCCATTCACTTACCCACAAACTTCATTGTTCTTCACAGCCGAATAAGATCTCGTGTTTGAGTACCACACTTTCCATTGTCGGTTGATAAAAATCTAAGCCCCTTTCATTGCCTAGCCTCTGTGAATAGAGCAGCAACAAATGGAGATTTCAGTTTCGCTGGCTGTAAATGGAAGGTGGGCATCCTTTTAACAATATTTCATTTTTCTGAGGCTGTGTCTGTTCCCAAGTGCCTGCATAGGCACCACAGTGTATGTAGGAACCCACAGAGATCAGGAGCATCGGGTGGCCTGGAACTGGGGTTCCCAGCGGTGGCGAACTGCCACACGGCGCTGGGAACCAGACGCTGATCTCCGCAGCAGCAGTGAGTGCTCTCAACCTCTAAGCCATCTCCCCAGGCCCACCTGAGCTTTCTCTTTCTATATTTCTGGGCCACGTGCTTCTCTTAAGTTGCCCATCCATATCCTTAGCTCATTCTTTTCGTTTGTTCAGTTTTTTGAAACAGGGTCCTGTGTAACCTATGCTGGCCTCACACTTGCTATATAGCTAGGGCTAGCCTTGAACTCCTGACCCCCGTGCCTCCTGCTCCTAAATGCTGGCATCACAGGTATGTAGCTCCATGCCCAGCCTTCGCTCATCCTGTACTGAGCCTTTTTCCTCATTTGAAGGAGCCTGTTGCTTACTCTTCCGAGCCAATCGTTTAGTCCAGGGATGTGAATATTCTCTGTGTCACTTGTTTAACTTGCAGCATCCTTCTACTAGTGAGTCGATACAGGCGAACGTGTTTTCTGCTCTCTTGCTGTGGGAGGCTGATTTAAAGGGGGCTTTTTTTTTTTTTTCAGCCTCTAGGATTATGAAGGTATTTGAGCCAACTTTTGTCATTTACAAGTAGGTTTATAGTTCAGATGTGATGCACTTCACCGAATTATTCTAGAAAAGGTTCCTCTTTTCCTGACTTGTTTGAAACATTACCTTTGTCATACAGTAACCTGTTTAGTCTTCTTAGACCCACCTCCTCAGCCCGTTCCACTATGGATTTCATATTTTCTAATTTTTCTTCTGGAGATCTATTTTGTTTTAGCTATTGTGTCTGGTAACTATATTGGATTCTCTTAAAGGTTGCAATAGAGTCTAGATAAACAGTCATTTATTTTACATACAGTAGTAGAGTTTTGTTCCTTCCTTTCTCTTATGGCTTAATTTTTTTTTTTTTGCTTCTACATTTTATCTGATTGTAACCACGTGGTGTTCTACATATTCAAACACATGAAACAGAACTTTCTGAAGTGCAAAAGTTGTTCTTTCACGAATGTCCTCAACCAATAGTGAAACCAGCCATTTATAAATGCCTTCATGTGCACATACAAGTACTTCAAAAAGCAGTGTGCCAGCTCTTCATCCACTGTCAACTCAGTGGTAAGAATGAGGGCCACCAGGCATTGGTGGAGCACCAGAAGGTCCTGAAGGCACTTGGTAAGGATTATTCAGAGTAGGATGGGGTCCTGGCGAGGGATATGATCCTGCAGGGCCAGGATATGGTGCTGGTGGTCCCCTGGCTCCTGGCAGCAGGCACAGTGCCCCATGGAACAGGCGGTGCTCCTGACACTGGAGGAGGAACGGTGGGATATGGCCCTGGAGATCGATATGGCATATTAGGATGCTGCCCCCCAATTCCTGATGCCCAAGGTCCAGAAGACATGGATCCCCATGGACCTAAAGTACCAACTGCAGCTGGATCTGTGGGTGCACCGTATGGCCTAGGTAGCTCCGGAATGGGCATATTTGGCGTAGCATATGGCCCTGTGGGGCCAGGGCCTGGCACAGCAGGGGCTGGATAAGGACCACTAGGTGGGAGACATGACGGTCCAGGAGGAAAGGGTGCTGGGGGTCCTGGTGGTGGTCCAGTTGGAGGCATGGAGGGATACATTCCTGTTGGTGCTGGTCCAAAAGGCACAGTGGAGGGCGCTGCACTTGGCGGGAGTCCCGGAGGCAGTGCAGGCGGAGCCCTGGGGTTACTCCAAGGGCCGGAGCCCGCCCGGCCAGCCTTGAGACTGGCCGGCTTTTGTATTGCTCACAGACGTTTTGGCCGAGGACTG